GGTGGGGCCACGGGGCCCCTGCCTGGCACAGCTGGTTGGGTCCTGCTGGCATGGTGAGGGGCTCAGCTCCCACACAGCCCCTGGCAGCCTGGGGGGCCCAGGGTGGCAGCTCAGGCTCCCTTCAGCAGGGCCTGGAGAGGAAATAATGATAATAATATTATTTGTAATAATGGTGATAGTGTGAGCGTGCCCCTGTTCCCTCACAGCTCAGCAGGAGAGGAGGAGGAGGAGGAGAAGGGGCTGCAGCCAAGCCCTACTCTCTGGGCAGCCCCAGGGTGCTGGTGGGTGCCTCTGCTTGGGACCTGGAAGGGGTTCTAAGGTCCTCCTGGGGTGCCAGCCCTGGGTCCTCCTGGGGTGCCAGCCCTGGGCCCTCCTGAGTGCCAGCCCTGGCCAGGATGAGGTGGGGAAGGAGCCTGGTGCCCGTGAGGGGCCTGGGCACCAGTGCAGCACCTCTGCTGATAACAGCAACACCCACACCTCGGAGCTCTCTCTGCTCCAGTGGGGTTGGGGTGCCCCAGCCCATGCCAGTGGGGTGCACCCACCTCTGCCCAAAGCCCTGCCCTGGAAACGTGGAGCTGGGACAGCCCCGGGGATGGAGAGGGGGGAGCCTGGGCTGGGCCGTGTCCAGGCAGCGCCTGGCTGGGGCTGGAGCAGGGCTGTGGAGCACAGATGGAAGAGTAATTAAGGATAATAAAAGGCAAGAGACTTGGACTCGCTACAGTCTCAGCACATTAATTGTGCTTTGGGGCCCAAATCATAACGGAGTCCTGCTAGAGGGACTCCAGGAGAGAACCCAAACGTCTCGCTCGCTCCAGAGCTGACCGTTTAAGAGACCCTGGCCTTCATCCCCTGCCAGGTATGGCTTCCAGAGCCTCCCCTCTGCCAAAACCTGAGCTCTCCTTTGAAATATTTTTCAGGGAGGAGGGAGAGCTGCGGGGACGCTGCGTGCTGGCAGTGAGGAGGAGGAGGAGGAGGGGGATGCAGCAGGGGAGGACACTCGGGTCTCTCAGAGGGGTCTGTCCCCGTCAGCTGGTGCATCCCTGGGGTAGGATTTGGGTTTTGCTGCTCTCGTGCCCCAGCACAAGTCGTGCCAGGCAGCTGAGGTCCAGCCTGGGCTGCCGTGGAGCTTGAGCATCTCTAAACTGACAAGCAATTACATGGTTAATGGTATCAGTGGTAAATCCTCATCACTTGCCAGCCTGAGGCTTAATGCTTCATTAAGGCAAAGGCATCTAATAGCTCTCCGGGCTGGGAGCTGCCTTTTCTTCGAGCTGGGAGCTGCTTTTTCTTCGAGCCTGAGTAGAAATCATCTGTCCAGAGGCTCTCCTGGTCCTACAACTGAACTGTGAGTCCCTCCAAAATGGAATGGGGGACGAGGAGACCTCTCCTGTGTGTGCTGCTGGGGCTGCCGGGTCCGGCCTCGCCGCCGTGATGGAGCTGCACGTGGTGGAGATGCCAGCCCTCCTCGGGGACCTGCCCTTTCCTCTTCTCCTGACCCTGCCTGCTGGAGCTCCACCTCATCCTGCCACCCTGCAGACGCCTCTCCTGGGCTCAGGGCCACCTCTCCTGCCTGTGGATTTAAGCTTTTTTTTCCCCCTGGTGTTACCGTGCGTTGGTTGATGTTGGATTTCATCCGCCGTGGAGGAGCTGTGGTGCCTCTGCTGCTCTCCCTGCAAGTACCTCGGATGCTTTGGGCTTCCACGCCTCTGCTGGAGAGGAGCTTGATCCTGTGGCCTTCTGCTGGGGAATTTTCCACCCTGAGAAGAAGAAACGGGGCAGGAGGATCCTCTCTCCACCTCTGAGCGTTGCGGTGAGGCACCACGGGTCAGCAGAGACCCCCTCCCCGCCTCCAGACCTGCTGCTCGGTCCTACACGGCTACAGAAAACCCACCAGAAATTTTTCCTCTTCCCTTCTGGCCCTTGGGATGGCATTTTGGCTTCTGGGAGCCCAGCCGGGCGGGCTGGAGCTCCTCCCCTGGCTTTGGTTTGGCCCGTTTTGGATCTGTACGGAACGTGGCAGCGCGTGTCCTGGGTTCAAGAGGCTCCACTGGAGATCATCACCATGGTGTTCTCAAGCGTTTTACCCTTTTAGCTGCCCCTTTTTATGTTCCCTCAAGTAGCTGCTTCATTTATTTTTCTTTTTTTTTCCTCCTTTCAAAGCTGCTTTCTCCCCTCGTCATTATGATGATGGGAAGGAGAAGAGGCTCCTTGAACAAAGGCCCGTGTGTGGCGCGGGAGGAAGGACTCTCAGCCTCTCATCCCTCCCCGTGGCTCCAGCTGCTCTTCCTCCGTCCTCTTTGGGCCTTGTGGATTTTTGCCACGTCCCAACACGACGTCTCCATCGTTATTTTGGAGGGGCTGCTGTCTCCTGTTGCTGCTGCCTGCTGCCCCGGGGGCGGGGTCTCTGGTTCCCCACGCTCCAGCCGTGCCCTGTGGATCGTTTTTGATGCCGTTAGGCTGTTGTTTTATCCCTCAGACCTTCTGAGGCTGGTTTTTTTATGGACTGCTCTGCTTCCCCTGCCCCCTGTGTTGCAGTGTGCACGGGGGAAGCCTGCCTGAGACGGAGCCACCCCCCTCCTTGCACGGTGCTGGGAAGCTGGGATGATGTTCCTGGAGCTGCTTCAGCGCCTTGAGCTGGAACGGATCTGCTTCTTCCACCCCAAATCCAGTGCCTCTGGCCTGGGAGCTGCACCTTCTGCTGGAGTTTGCTGCCTGAGATGGTTTTATGGGGAGTTTGAGCTCGGGCCCCACTGGCTGACGTAGAGAAGAGCTCGTGCAGGCTGCAGGGGGGGGGTCTCTCTGCTTTCCCAGGCATTTGGATGGGGATTTGTGCTGACGGTGCTGCTGTCAGGACGCCCAGCCCAGGAACCCACCACGGGAGAGGTGAGAACTCGGCCGAGGGCCCGGGGACCCCCTGATGAGCAAAACATCTGCTGCTTGGGGCTTCCCACGGGAGCCTCGGCCGCACCGAGGCGTTCGGACGGAGCCCACGGACTTGGCGCCTGCATCCTGCTGGGATCTGGGCTCGCTCTCCAAGCCTCTCATCCTCACCCTGCACCCAAAGATCCCGCCGTGGAAAAGGGCAGCGTGGAAGACAACCAAAGACCTTGCTCTGTGACCCAACGAGGCCCCTTTTGGGCTCAGAAGCCAGGGTTTTTTTTGACTATTTTTAGCAGAACCGACCATTTCGGCGCTTCATCCTGTCATCTCTGGTTTGGTTTTTTTTTCCCCCCCCCCTTGCCCTGAGCTCGCGCGCCCCCCGCCGTGTCAGAGGGCTGGGGGGAGCGTGGGTGGGGGGTTTTCCTGCGTGCTGTGACGTGCAGCAGCTCCCTGTGCTCCCCCAGGGATCCAGAGGCTGAGAAAAAAATCCGTGCCGGCGAAAAAGTTAATGCGAATTTAACTGACTCCTGCCCTGCAATTAAAGCCACTCAACCCCATTGGGGCTCTGAGTTTACATTCTTTACTGAGGCACGGTGTGTAATTATAGATGTATAATTTAAACTGTGCATATGCATGCGCTCCTATGATACACCAAGGAGCAAAGGAAATTATCCAGGAATTAAAGGGGGAGGAGGGTGCAGGAGCAGAGAATGGCTCCTTGTGTGGATGAGGCGGC